TTGGTCATTTTAGTTGGTATAAATTCTAAAAAAAATTTGACAGAGTTTCCCCATACATATGATCAAAACCAATTTTTTTTATCTGCATTTGCAATGAAAAACACATATATTTTACAAATCTAGTATGCTAAAAACAATTATACCTTTTCAATCACAACTACAACCACAAAGTATATATGACAATCACACACCATTGTTTTAAATACCCACGATATTTAGTTAATAATATTTAACCTCCAAAGCAGTCCAAAACTTCATACCTTTTGAAGTATGATCACTAGAGGTCAAGCAAAATAAGAAAATATATCGTAATAAAAGCTAAAACTAAAGCTAACAGTTTAAAGTACTAATAGAAATAAAGCCAACCATGCAAAGTATGCAGATAATGTGCATAGCAGAAAAATAAAAAAACTAAGGACCATGATAGTCTGGATCAAAAGTAGGATGGTATGCATCATCATCTTGAGGCGGAAACTGCCGCTGCTGCTGATATTCAGGGACCATAGGAGAGGTTTGTGTAGAATCAGTGGAGTAGGTGAAAGCTGAATTCATGCGAAGACCTGAGCTAGGACCATGTGACGGCTGTGGTGGGGCAACTGGATGATGACCTGCCTGAGGGGAAATGCCATGAGCGGCTAGAGCTGCTGCAACAGACTATGCGATTGTCTGGCTCATATTATTCTGAGCTGCTGTCATATTGGCCAACTGCTGTTGCATCAAAGCAATTTGTTGGCGTTGTCTTTCTAACTCCTCATGATCTTTTGCCTGTGTCTCCTCATAGTTAGACGCCATTAGTGCTGCTTTTAAGTTTTCTCGGGGTTGTCTTTTTCTGCAAGTAAAACCAACCATCTCTAGATTTACTTGGGAGCCAATCCCTGGCATGAAATTAGATGAGCAACCTCCAACAGCCTTAACCCATGCCTCATTATCCATGCGTGGCCACGAACTAGCATCAGAGCCATGACTATCTGTGCACTCCGCAACATAAGTATCTTGAAAAAATAATAGTAATAGTAATAATGTTGTCAAAAGTAGTTTGAAAAGAATCTATAAAAAAAAGTAGACTTTGCTAAATAATTTAGATTAATTACATACATTTTTTTCACACTTATAACTATACATTTTATGCTAATTTATATGTTATATATACTTACATATCGATACTTTGCTTTTTCATTGATCCACGATGGCTCTTGATCTTTTCCCGCCTTTTTTTTGAAGGTGTGCGTCTCCTTGAATTTTTTCTGATGGGGAGGTTGCACACCACCTCTAGACTCAGTCTATATTTCAAAATATTGATAATGATAATGCAATATATTGGTTAGTATAAATTGACAGAATTTAATATTAAATAAAATCTAATATATTAAATTTTTTATTAATTAAGCTTGATTACCATCCGCATCTCATAGATGCCAAAGTTAACGGACCCAGTGGTGTGAGTCACCCTTTCCCCAGAGCTCCTATTCTTTGCTCCCCTTGCACTGAGCCTCTTATATTCATCAGAGTCCCAATATGT